ATTCGCTTAAACTAATCGGATAATCGATACGTATTGTTTTCCTTCCAGCCAAATGGCGTAACCGGCTTATGAACATGCGATCTCAAATTAGGAACGTTGCCTAAGCCAAAGATCTGCGGTTCGAAATCTCGCAAATCTGCACACGAAGAGCTCAAATGATGGAGAGCGAGGACAAACGAGATAGCTCTACAGGAGTACAAAAAAATTAGTTAAAGAGGATCCCTAGTAATTACTAAAGAATCATCTGGAAGCTCTATACATGCTGCCACATAAACTGCTTGCCACTATGGTTTTTTGATTTTGGCCACACCCACCATGCCCCCTACCACCTTCCCTACCGTATATGCTTAAGCAGAAATCACGATGAACGGTGGAGGTAGGAGAGGGATCGTGATCAGACCCCCCCCCCATCCACCAATGATGCCAACAAATTGCCTCTGCCTCCAAGCCATCATAACCACTGTCTTTTAACGTCTGTCCGAGCTAGCTTTTCTTCATTCACCGTACGTAAAATTGACTGAAATGAAGAGCGTCAAATATTACTCTCATACGTGATAGACGTTCTAAAGAATCCATGATTCTCTCAAAAGTAAGATATTTATTAAATTAAATCTTGCTGCTAGCATGTTACAAAGAATGGATTTCGAAGGACTTAACAGCGACAAACACTTTTGAATTTGAACTTTGAATTATTACACATTCCGCAAATAACAATCCTTAAAAAGTAACAATACAAGGCACAATTCATAGGAAAATGGTACATTGAGGCAGCATAAAAAATGTGAGAACTTTAGTAAAGACTGGCAGTAAACAATTTCTATTCACAGCGCGAATGTCCATATAATCTTCTTCTCAGCCTATGAAAAACTGTCACAAATTTACATCAGCACCTACAAGTACGATCAATAACAATCCGGATGAAAGGTTGCAACTACACTCAGCGAATCAGCCGCAGGCTCTCCAAGTAAAATATACGTATCGATTGCAACCCAGCGTTTTCCTACTCACACAAGGCGGAGATCTATTTACAAAGAGCGCCTGCGCACAATATACTTAACGCCAAATGACAGCGTACTATCGATGGCTATATTGTCAGACAGCTAAAAATAATTTCCGGCTGCAAGGCCGAACCGGCGCCTGACTACAATCAATGGCTAGGCTTCACATAGGCAGCCGCCTGCCTGTTCGCCGACTGTAAACGCAGCCTAGGGACATAAATACACTGCACATTCATAATAATGATGCACTTGAGATCCACTATAAATAACACATGCATAAAAAAACAGACTCTAGCGAAGCTGCAGGAGATTGAGAACTGGTTGAGACTGACTCATCAAGTAGAAAAATAAACCAAAAAAAACTGGTGCTAAGGGGTTGGAAAGACCACGTTAGTCCAAGGGGCAGTTACTATTTCGTCGCCACGTGGCAGTTTCGAAATACGCGCCATCGGCGGACTAAGCCTTGGAGGAGCAGACGAACAGAGCGCCGCGCCGCCGCGTGGTCCCCCCCCCCCCCAACTAAATAGCACCAAAAACCGTATTTGCACCATTAGCACCAAAAACTGTATTTGTTGAAGAACGAAATAAGAAGAGCACCAACAGGAGAAAAAAATTCACACGGGGAACATCGTTGGGTTGAGTGATGACGCTGCTCGACCCACTTTTGCTCCTCGACCACGTGTCGGAGGCTTGAAGGAGGGTCGTGCACGTTTTGCCCGTGTACCACCACTTCTGAGATTGCTTCATAAAATCGATTTGTTGATTGAACTAATTGAAAAACAGCAACTCACGATCCCTGACTACTACCACGACTAGGCTTTTTCCGTACTCGCGGGGTAGCCTTTGGTCGGTTGAAGTTACCGGCACCGCGACCTCTGCCACTGTTACCGCGACCAAACCGGGGCGCATACCTGCCGCTCGGCCCAGATGACGATGTGGCTGCAATTGAAGTAGCTTTGAGTGACTTCTAACAGCGATTCCGCAGCAGTGCTTACCAGATGAACTACCAGCATCCACCGACGATGAAAGGGATGGTAACGGAGCAGCCGGCTGAACGTCTTTCAGTTTCTCAAGCTGCACTCGCATTTCAGCCTCGTCGCGATCTAACAATGATGGCGATAAAGGGTTAAAAAGAGAAAAAAGGGTTGACGGAGGGAAAGGGTGCTTAGAATACACATGTCCCTTGGATACGCCACAAACTCCATTTTTTCAGGTGAAAACGCACCTGAATTTGTAACTAGTCCTTACTTTTACATTCAATGGCAAGCAAGCCTTGTGGCATGAACCTTTGCCTTCGTGGCTAAAAATTGCACTGATAAATTAGCTGTGAAAGGGGTGATTTGTGGCGGGAATAAGATAGCAGCTCCTAGGCTTCAAAGCTGAAAGGACGGATTGGGGGGGGGAGCGAGGTTTCATTCCAATATGACCCCCGAACTGTTCCACATGGCCCACCAAACCTGCTTGACTTCTGCGGAGGAGCCGACCGAAAGACCAAATTTCCATAAGCGTCAAATTTCAATCTGACAAACCTAATTTGGAAATGAACACGACGACTAGAGAATCAGTTGAGCTACCGGCAGGTACTTGAACCAATAATAGGGACAACCAACAGAGCAACATAGCTATCAAGAGCTGCATACAGCTCGGCGCAAAATCACGAGTACTGACCGAAGCAAAAATAATCCCCACTGTGCAATCAAAATTCAAACAGAAAGGTGAAGTAACCGAATCAACGCTGATTATTAGCAGATCTTAAAGGGGCAACGACATACCATAAATAATTAACTCAGTCAAACCCACCGTCCACATCTTTCCAGAATGGTTTTAACGCAGCCATAATTCGCGCACCATACCTCTCCACTTTGCTGAACGTCATTGAGTCGATTTGTACCAGGTCAGAATTAGTACGTGGAAGCAAAGCGGCTACCTAAACATGCAAAACTTTTTAACACATTCCGAGGAACCCTATTTGACCAACTACATGCATAGTATGCAATAATAGAACCAAATGACAGATCAATTGGTACAATTTGCATTCAAAAACTAATCATAGTCTCTGAGGTCTGAAAAGGAATGGCAACTACTTCGTCGATATTTTCCCAAGAAATCCATCCTAACCGTAACTATGGTTTATCCAAGATACCAGCACCGTACCTGTTCTAGTCCCTCCTGTGAGATAATCGCGTAAGGACCAGATAGCCGTGATTCTTCGGCGATTTGTGTAACGAGTTCAGTCAGAGTTTGTAGACAACGAGCAAACACATCACCATACTTTACCATATGCCTGAATATCGGAGAAGCATCATGTATTCCATTAAATCAGTGATTATCACAATTCCTTTGAAACCTACTTCTCCTTGAGAGCTTTCGCTTCAGAGACTGATGTCCTCGCTAGCAAATCTGACACAATCGACTTTCGTTTTTTGTCAGCGGTTACATGCAGATAGATCTAAAGACTATACAATGCCGAACAAGTATAGGAGTAAATAGCAACACGACAGAACGCGATGCTGCGCCTATCCCAATTTAACCTTTTTTTTCGCTGCGGGACAACGATACAAAACTAGCAGCGGGACCGCGTGCACAAACGCGCGACTGGTGCAGTATGTTCGCATGGGCGTGCCCAGCACCGTTAGCTGATACAAAGTTTGAAGATATTTGACGATTAAGGGATTGGCACCCTGCCGGATCTCCCGTAGGCGTCCTGTATGGCTGAATTGTGCGAGGAAACCACATAAGTTTATCTTTGTATAAATCGGAGACTTGAGACCCATCGTTCATGAGAAGAGCGGAAAAAACGAAAAAGTTTTGGGGAGCAATCTGAAGAAACTTTTCTTTGCCGAAGACTAGCAGTAGAACCGCCACGACTTTCGGCGCTAGGCACTCCCGTATCATTCTACACTTCTATTACACTAATCTGTAGCACATAAGTACCTATCAAATTGAAGGATTGAGTTCAATTTTTTCCTACTACGTCACCTAAGAGGTGGCAATTTCATCACAAACCTCGCACCACTTGCCCAATTGCCTCCGCCCACGTGTCCGTGGACTGTCCACAATGTAGTTTAGAAAGTCTGGTTCTTTTCAGAAACTAATTTTTTATACATGGAACTTTGCACGGTGCAACTAGTTATCACCCATGGAGCATCTGTGCAAGGAAGGAAAGCGGGGAGTGCAGGGGAAGAAACATAACGAGCCGCCATGCACGATTCCCTTTTCGAGGCCATGTACACCCATGCGAATATACTGCTCTAGACTTGCTACAGACGTCTTTAGTGTAAGATCCTGCATGGTGTTCCGCAGGGAAAACGTTGGACAGAACACAAAGAATCTGATGAGCACTAAGCGATAGAAGAAACACACATACGTAGAATTCTGAAGAAGCATAAACTAACCTTGGGCTTCGGACCTCCAACGAGCGCTTGACGGCTTTTAAGAGTGAGTTCAGCATATGCTACAGTGCTCTCGAATTTCGTACGATATAGACGCTCCTCGATATATCCCTCAGCAACCTGGAAATCCACTGGTAACAGCTATTGAATCTTGTTTTCTTAATATGACAACCAATGGTGCTAAGGTAATTTTCGAGGGAGAGGGCAGTACAGTCACTACGCTGCGCACGTGACATGTCTTTTAAGTCCTTTCTGTCTTTATTCTTCCCAACGGAAATATGTTGAAACTCGCCCCATCCAGCCTTTTACGTATTTCAGCCTAACTCGCCACTACCCTCCCCGTCCCTCTTGGCTTACACTCCCCATGGCCCATGAATTCCTCATTTAAAAGACGCGAACACGTCGCCGCCGCTGCGACTGCCCCCAACCCTCCCGGCCCCCCCCCACACCAGCAACTACTTGGCACCAACTAGCTTAGTCAGT